TAATGAGTATCTTCATTAATAGTTATGGTTTGTTATGTGACCAGCCTCTTCAGAAGCAAGAGTAGATGGACTGCAAGCAAACTCTTGTGCTTGCATAGAGAAAAAAATTTGCAGACCTAAATAAGTAAATTTAATTAGAGATTTCACTTGGAATGACTGTGGGATGCAGGCAAATTTTACCCTGCCTTACAGCAGGAGGCCTTTGTCCTGCTGTGGAACATTTCAAAGGCTCTTGTTCCTGGGAGCCATTTTCCTCTACTGCATAGATTCTTTTGCGGTTGCTGTAAGGTGCAGAGATTTCATTTTAAATAAAGAATGTTCTCCAGCTCCTGTAATAACTGCAGCTGTTTGACCACTCGGTGCAAAAGGTTGAATGTTGTGCATTGTCCTTGGAGCTGCTTCAGACCAAAGCAAATATTTTCCGCTTCCAAGAATCAGTGAAGGGCCACCTATCAGTGGAATTTAAAATATTTCTCCAATTAAGCTTCAGACCTACTGAGTCAGTTTTGAATGTAAGAAGAAAGGGACAGCAAGTTAGCAATGCTGCTCTTTAAAAAAAAAAAAGCTGTTCTTAGATGACAAAGCTCTCTGTTTAGAGCAGCCTTCAGCCCTCCTTCTGAATAGGGAAACACCTGCAGGTAGGGGGAGTGCGAAGCCCTCATTCCCTCTAGGCAAAGTGAGAAAGAAAAGCTTGTGGATTTTTCAGTGCTGTTATCTAACAGTCATTAAGGGAACCAAAGTTTTGCCACCGTGAAGCTGCCATTTTGGGATATTGATTTTAAGCTGTTTCTTAAGAAGCAAGACAGAAACTTTCACCCTCCCCGATTTCCTGCCCAAGAGATTCAGATAGAAAAAACTGCTTCAGGAAGGAAATCTTAGGATGTTCACCTTAGCCTAATTTGAATCAAGTATGGTTAATAGGAGGGCTTCTGGCAGGGGCCTGTTAGGTAGATAACCTCATGGCCCATTGTACCTGAGTTGCTTAGCAAGAATTTGCCTGCCATGTAAGTTCTGCTCTTCCTCAACTACTTGTAAGTCATCTATTCTCACTTCTGAAGTCTAAGACCCCGTTCCCCCAACTTTTTCTCCTTTGTCCACAATGTCATATATATATATATTGCCTACTCTCTCTGGAATTTTCATGCATATGTGAATTCTCCATGCGCATGAATGAACATCTGATTTTCTCCTGTTAATCTGTCTCTGTTAATTTGATTATTAGCCCAGATAGAACTTAGAAGGTGGAAGAAAAAGTATTTTCTTTTTAGGCCCCACAGTTTAAATCTAGAAGAAGTGAAAGCCTAACTAATATATGGTATACATAGAGGACAGGCAATGTTAGCTGAATGAATGAATTAGTGAACACCATAATTTAACGTTAGGGGGAATTTTCTTTACAAAACTTCATCAGTCTGAGTTCAGGTTTTTTCCTTAAAATTCTAAAAATACGTGGTTGTAAGGTTTAGCGGCACTCCAGGAGGGTCACCCATAGATGGGAGAAGGAAAAAGGGATGTATCCACCTGGCCAGCCAGATTAGTTGAACCAAACCCGGGTTGGCCCTCAATGGAATGAGAGCGGTCCTGGCAGGCTTCTGTTATATCCCATGTCTTTTTCCATCCTTGCATTTCAGGATCAGCCATCAGACCCTAGTTTATCGCTGGGCTGCCACTTTTTTTTTTTTTTTCAGATTTTTCAGACTAGAGTTAATCACATTCCAAACACTTGCACCAAATATCTATAACACTAAGTGTAAAACAATGGTTTTTAGTTGTGTTCTGGGGGAATATTTGGGTAATGATTATAGATTCTAGAATTAGAAAAAATAAATAATGGGTATAATTATCATTGTCTTCTATTATCTATTCAGCCCCTCTGTCTTGCTTTTCTTTCTGTCATGGACTAGAAACAAAATGTTAAGGTCTTATTTTTGCCACTCGGTTGTCATATGCATCCATTTAATTTTCCCCTCCCAGATAGGACCCAGGTGGTAAGGTGGCAATTTTCAGAAATGTTTATTTTCTACAGAACCAAGATGTCCCTGACCGAGGTGACCTTTGAGGCCTAGAATACAAGGTTACACAAGAGGGTTTGGTGCAGTGATGTTGTAGCTGACCCCTTCTCTCTCCTTGTCCCAAACCTAAGAACATAACTCAGAAGAAGAGACCCTGGAATCTGTCATATTGTGATCTCCACAGGAAACAAGTTGTGGGCCTGATAAAGCCAATTTTGCTGGGTTTTCTCATGGGAGTGTGAGGTGGTATTTACCTGTGTTCGTTTAGGGCCAAGCAGCTTAGAGACACAGTAGTATTGGAGGCAGCAGACTCTCCCAAGAGTTGGACACCAGGATTCCCAGAGAAAATGTCTTAACTGGAAGCTAAGACTCAGAGGGATCTGTAGAGCATCCTCATCTGACTGCTTTTGCCCAAGAGCTCAAGGGCCCTTTACAGTATAGTCCTTCAACCATGAAGGGAGAGACAATTTGTGGTCCTTGTAAGGTACACTAAGGGGATACAGGAAAGAAGGAAGGCAATGGAGATGGAAAGGGGAACATTCCTCCATCTATGCCCCTCCTTCGTACCTAACCTCATAGCCTCACCAATGCCCACATAAATGGCCCAGTGTCTTTTGGGCGGGATCCTGGAGTCTCTCCAGACAACTCCTGCTTAAAGATGCCCTTGTTATGCTAATGGTTGATCCAACCAGGAAACACTTACCTTTTCTTCTCTCTCACAGGTGTCTCTGACATTTCTGAGCTTCTTTCCATAAGTCTTAGGGCGGTACAAATGGAGCCTAAACACATTGCTATGCCTCTTTTTTTCGGCTTCTTTTTATTACAAACTTTTTCCTCCTAACACATTTAAGGGTGTGGTACCGAAATGTATGTATGAACTTTTTGTTTGTCAGAACTGAGAAAAATGATGAAGGATTAGGGATGTCCTAGTTTTGAATATGCAATATCAGCAGATCCTTCAGTATAACTCTACCCAAAAAAGTGAGACTCTGTATTTTAGCCCCTGTCACCTTGACAGTTCCTCCCTCAGGTCACTCCTGTGAGCTCACACTGATGACCAGTCCTCAAAGACAGTCTCTGAGTGGAAGTGAGATACTAAGGTACAGTTTTTAAATGTGGAGCTTCCTATTCAAAAATTTTCAACTATTTCACGCCTCACTCTAGTTAGGGGAGTAGAAACACTCACTTGCTAAAATGGGTGAGGCAAGTGCCCACAGCTGGCCAGGCTGAGCTGTTTCTGAAGCTCAGAGCAGCTATGACTCATCCCTCCTACAGTCCGTTAACCTCCCACTCCTCTCACTAGACCAGCTACTCCTCTCACTCTGACTCCTACAAACCCACTTATTTTCAAATTTGCTCAGTAACAATGACTTTCAAACCCAACCTGATCCATGCACAGTCTGCTGAGAAAATACACAGTGAGAGTTGAGGGTCCATACAAGAAATAATGACCACAGAGTGAGGATTATTTTCTTGGCCGTGGGTGGTAAGAAATAACTGCTAATAAGAGGCAATGGTAAATTTTAGGACATGTGCCATCCTGCCCAATTGAGTTAAGGGAATGCAGTCATCCTGACTGGTGATTTTCAGGAAGTCACTCCAGATTTTAATTGAATTCACAGGCTCCTGCATGACTGGGAACATAATACTTTGGTGCCCAAGCTGGATTGAGCTGGTAACAACTGGTTAAAATGATTTTCTAATAGTGATGCTCAAAATTATTCTCACTATGACAATTTCAAGCCTTGTTACCAAAGACCAAAGTCACAAAAGGAAAGTAAAAAAAAAATTTTTTTCAGAGAAGGTTCAGGTCTTTCCTGCATGGTTCCAACTGCCAATACAGTGAGAAATGCAGTGAACACAAAAAGGAAGATTGCAGCTGGATTTAAGAGAAACTTTTTGGAAGAAAGGACAAAAGAAACCATGAATTTAAAGGAGTCTTCAGTTATGCAGCCATTTCTGAGTTTGCATCCTGAGTCCACCTATACCCAGTCAGAATTCAGGAACTCCAGAAGCCTCCAAGACTTTGCAAAGAGGAAATATTCAACAGATTCATTCAACAAATACTTGTTAAGTGCTTACCATGTTTCAGCACTAAGACACAGGGAGTTACAACAATAGTTGCCTTGGACATCAGCCCCATAAAATTAACCATTGGACTATCAGTGGGAATCCCAGATATATATATGTGAGATATATATATATATCTCACATATATATGATATATATATTGGCATGAGCCTGAATTAAAAATAGAAACTATTTTTCATGTTGTGATTTTCTTTTTATTTCTTTGCTTTAAAATTTAGATCAGTATGGGCTGTACAGCCTTTCTCTTTAAACTGAGCTCTGGACATCTGTATGCAGCTCTCAGTGGAAGACTCAGAAAGATCTTTGTCAGAGCAGGTCTTCAGCCTCGTAATGTTTAAAAGCTGAACCCTTCGTCTTCCCTCCAAATCTGTATGTCAGTTGATGTCGGTCACCAAATCTGAACCTATGAATCCTCCTTACCTCCTTCTACTCCCAAGATCCCATCAATCACCACATCATATCACCTTACCTTTTAAACACTACTCAAAC